GAGAGAGAGAGAGAGAGAGAGAGAGAGAGAGAGAGAGAGAGAGAGAGAGAGAGAGAGAGAGAGAGAGAGAGAGAGAGAGAGAGGGAGTTCAGAGTTGAGGGTTGAGATTGGGTTACGTTGGACCACGGACCTACATTGGGCAGAGATATTGGGAGACTATTTCGAGACTTCATGAGTGATGTTTGAGTTGACGACGTCTCCATTCCTCCTTTGTCTCTTCCCCCTCCTCTTCATCTGTGGATGTGTGCTGGTCTGGCGCCCTTCGTCTGTGTATTGGGCGCCCGGACCCCTCTCACCCTCCCCGATGATGATGAGTGTGATGCAGTCAGTCCATGTCCTTTGAGTCAGATCGTGGTGTATCAGTCTCCCACTGCGCTATTTGTGCTTTATCTCTTTGGGTCGGTTCTCGCTTCTGATCCAAAGAGGGGGTTCAGATCCTTATAGGCATGCGACAGAGGGGGGTGGATACACAATTGACAATGCGTCTATTCTGTCACAGGGGGGGGGTTGGTGGCCACACAGTTGACAATGCGGCTATGCCGTCACCAAGGGGGGGAGGGGAGGGGAGAGGAGGGTGAAAATTGTACCCCCTTTCCTCAGGGATATTTGCACTTATGCCTCCGCAAAAGGTGTCATATTTGCATAGTTACCCCTACTTATGGTGGGTTGTTTGCTGTTCAACCCCAACGATTCAAGCATATTGATTCTCTCTTTGATGCGACTTCTGAACGCTTCCCAAAACAATTTCTTCCCTACAAATGTGGCTTTGTGTCCGCTGAACATACATAGTCTCTGTATTTGTTCACATGAATTTGCCCCACATGCTTGTCCTCGTGCACCAGTTGTCCAAAGTGGACCACTGCCGTAGTTATTGGGTCAGATGCATTTCGCCAATGCAATTACCGCCTATGTTTCCATGCCCTGTTGTCGTATAAATTGACAGAGGGTTAAGGGACGCCTGAATTATAAGAGAATTTTCAGTGCCATTTATAAGAAAAGTTAGAAAACCCAAAGGCCTTTTGAACCAAAATTGCCACCAATTCTTAGGGTGGACATCATATTAACAAACATGAATAAATTCACTGCTTCTTCATTCTTCTTTCTTCTTCTTTATTCTTTTTCGGAAGTTTTCCTTCTTCTTCTTTCTTCTTCTTTATTCTTTTTCGGAAGTTTTCCTTCTTCTTCTTTCTTCCTTCTTCTCCTTTCTTCCTTCTTCTTCTTCTTCTTTGTTGTTGTTGTTGTTGTTGTTGTTGTTGTTGTTGTTGTTGTTGTTGTTGTTGTTGTTGTTCTTCCTCTGTTTCTTCACTCCTCCTCCGCTGCCGCCACCTCCTCCTCGCCCGCCTCCTCCTTGTGCTTCTTCTTCGTCGTCGTCCTCCTCTTCTGCATTTGACTTTTGCAGGTGGTTTTTGGAATGCTTGGTGTTTTGTCTACAGCGAAGGGGAAACGTTGTTGGTTTACGAGGTTAATGTCGTGCCGATGCTGCTCCTTCCTACTGTTTTTGTGGAGAGAATCATCAGAGCCGACCTGCCGAAGAACCTTCGTGCAATTGCAGCACGTGCAGAGATGTTCCTCATGCAGTCACGTGCTCTCACCGTGTCAGAGGATTCAAAGAATTTCCTTGCAGACAATGCGAAGGGTGATGATCAGAAGGATGCCCTTCCCGGAGGAGGAGGAGGAGGAGGAGGAGGAGGACAGCTGGCATCCTTGTCGTCATCCTTGTCCTCGCTGCCGGTCATCAGCAGCAGCAATTTGGAGAAAGCTTTGCAGGAAGAAGAACACATTGGTTGGCAAGAGGGCAGTGGGCGCACTATGATCACAGCGAGGGAAGCACTGACGATGTTTGGAAAGGACGCCATTTGGTCTGGAAAAAAAGAGATCTTGACACAATTTGATCTTGGCCTCGACCTGGTGAGGATTTCCAAAACGGGTTTTCTTAGCCTCAAGGATGACATTCCCACCAGGCAGGGGGAGGAGCTCGATAAGGCGGTTCTCGACAGCCGAAGAGAGCGCAACTGGGAGAAGGACGCAAGAGGCATTTGCGATATTGACGACGGGGGGGAGTGTAAAGTAGATGAAATCCATCTGCGTCGTCTCGATGACCTCCTCGTAAGTATACATCTCGGAACCGACCGACTCTATTCTGTGCTCCTCCCGATCCCGACTGACCAACCGACCAACTTTTTTCTTTGCTCTCGACCAACTGACAAACAGCCTGGCGACAACCTTCTCAGCCCCTGACCGACCGACCGACCGACCGACCGACCGATGGACTGACCAACCAACCCGATCGACTATGTTTCTTTGCTCCCCACGCCACCTATCTATTCCCACCGATCTGTCAATCTCCCTCCCTCCCTCTCCTCTCCCACTGCATCTTCCTCTGTCATACTCCCTTGATCTATGTTCGTCATTTCGTTCTCTCGCTCGCACAACCAATATCTCCCACATTGAACCCCACATCCCCCTCTCTCTCTCCCTCTCTCCAAAGGGCCAGGTGATGACGAGGCTGAATGACACATCAGCCGCAACGAGGCCAGTGAAGCTTATGGAAACCAAATATCTCTGTTTTTAAGAAATTGTAGGTGTTGGATATACAGCAAGTACCGTACTTGCAAGCAGATGGACCGGACGAGTGTCCGGTCCGTTCCGTTTTGCCGCGTGCGGCMCCCCCCCCCCCCGGACCAGACGGACCCGGACCGGACCGGACAGGGCCATTTTTTTTTTGGGGGGGGGGGGKGGGGCGTAACTGGTCGTCGGGCGCACATTCATGCGCCGCGCGGGTCCGGTCCGGCGGTCTGCCGCACGCGCGGAACCGCCCGGACGGCATCCGCTTGCAAGTATGGCAAGTACTAATCCACAGAACTCCATACAATTTATAAGACTTATTTTTTCGATCAAACTCGCATCATCACATTAAAATTTAATTAAAAAAAAAAATCTAAAGTATAAAAAAGAAGAAAACTAAAATCGAATTAAACTAAAGACAACTAAAACCATTATAAATTAGAATCGAATGCGAATCAATCCATTCCACAGTTTTCACACACTGTTGGGACTTCGCCTTACATAGTTCTGGTTTTGTCTTTTTTTTTCCCCTTTTTTCTTTTGTTTGGTTCTGCAGGAGTATGGAGGTTGCCACCGACGAGTTATTGCGGCAATCACAATCGACGCTCCAGTGACGGAGATATGGAATGTCCTGACGGATTATGAACGTCTTCCAGAGTAACACCCACTCAACCACTCACTCACCCACTCACCCACTTACCCACTTACCCACTCACCCACTCACCCACTCACACACTCACACACTCAACCATTTTCGCAGTTCGCTAGCTGAGCTCTCCCAGAGACCGCAGAGAATTTTCGGTGAAAGTTTGTGTCCATCCCTTTGTCAGTCCATCAGCATTATTCAAAATCACTTGAGGGCGAGGTCGCACTTGGCTGAATTCTCCGTTTGTGGCCGTCAATCGTGCAATTCTGTGTTCTGTAGTTTCGTTGATCCAACCCTGCACGGAGTCGAACCGGCGATCTCGAGCTCGAAAGCCTGGTTCTTTTTTAACCGCTGCAGCTGTGATGTGGATCCATGTAAGATCTTGATATCCGCTCACACCTGCATGGCTGCAGCGCATAACGACTCACTGTCACACGCTAACGCCGACCATCATCAACCCTTGAGACCATCCTGCAGTTAAGCACGTTTAGACCAGCAGTCCTCCAAGGCTCGTTTCTCTGACCCTGGGGATGCCCTGCGCGCCGAAAGCCGAACCGGTGCAGGCGATTGATGAAAATTCAGGAACGGCCGAGCAGGCCTTGAAATTTGCGCCGCGTGTCTTCCAAGGCACGTTTCTCCGAACCTGGGGATGCCCTGCACGCTGCAAGCCGAACCGGTGTGGGCGATTGATGAAAATTCAGCAACCGCTGAGCGGGCCTCGAAATTCGCGGCGCGTGTCCGACAAGGGCCTGCGGGATGTATGTGCCAAGTACTGGACCTTAGATCTGCGATCAACCAACCGCAACCGGTGGCCACAGAAGATATTGAGTTCTCTAGTAAACTCTCCTCCTCTTTTTTTTTTGTGTGTGTGTGACACTGTGTTTAAAACAAAGAAACACACCCAAAAAAGAAAAGAAAAGGAAAGAGAATTTACTAGAAAACTAAATAATAAATATCTTCTGTGGCCACTGGTTCCGGTTGGTTGATCCCAAACCTGATATTCACACAATCTCCTGGTTCCAAACCAGTGGTCTGGTCCCAAACCACTGGTCTGGTCCCAAACCAGTGGTCTGGTCCCAAACCAGTGGTTTGGTTGATCTCAGGTCTGCAGTGTGAGTAGATACAAAGTCTGTGATCCTGAGGGCTGGGGACAGTGGGGAGTAAACGGCGTGGTGGGGGATGTGTGGGTACCGAGGGGAGTCTCCCTGCGCTGAAGTCATGCGGTGTATTTGCTGTGCTTACGGTATGGCTTGACGAACGGCGGTTTCCCTGAGGGCTGGGGACAGTGGGGAGTAAACGGCGTGGTGGGCGATGTGTGGGTAGCGAGGGGAGTCTCCCTGCGCTGAAGTCGTGCGGTGTATTTGATGTGCTTACGGTATGGCTTGACGAACGGTGGTTTTCCTTGGTTTTCGTCCTTGCGCTTCGTGCTTAAGCACTGCAGTGAGCCTGGTTGCTTCGTCTCATCAGGACCTGACACGTTGCACTCTCCACTCACTTGTAATTTTGTACATAACTGTTTTTGCTTGCCGGTGATAAGCGACCAGACTGGTGCCTCCCAGAATAAAAGGGGCTGTGTGTGTGTTTGGGAAAAAAGTAGAATATAAAATATATATGCGCTGATTCAGTTCCCAACAACATTACTGTGGTTCAGTTCCCAACCCCACTGGTTTGGGTCATCTCAAACCACTGGACCAGGTTTGGGTTAATCTGAAAAAAAACACAGGTTTGGTTAATCTTAAACCACTGGTTTGGTTGATCTCAGATCTCAGAACTTAATACGCTGGGCCCGTTTCCCGGCTTTAATTGAAATTGACCTTGTTTTGAAAAAAAAAAAAAAAAAAGCTTAATAATAGTTAATATGCAGTATTATGCACTGATTCAGGTCCAAACGACATCCCGTGGTTCAGCTCCGAACCACAGGTCGACAGGTTTGGCTAGTCTCAAGCCACTGGTTTCAAATTTCAATGGTTTGGTTTATCGCAGATCTCCCTCCGGTCTGAAATCTGGTATATACTCTATATCAGCCTCCTGATGAGTCGGTGAAACTCCGACGAAACAGTTTGTCACAGCCCCTCGTTTGTTGTCCTCTTCTCTCTCTCTGCCTACGGTTT